CTGAACTCTGGGCCTGGGCGCTGTCCCTCAGCTCTTCAGCTCAAGGCTAGCGCTCTACCACTTGAGCCACAGCGCCACTTCTGGCTTTTTCTGCTTATGAGGAATCAAACCCAGGTGCTCATGCATGCAAGGTAAGCACTCTACCACTAAGTCACCTTCCCAGCCCCTCAAGCCAACTTCTACATCTTGATAGTTGGTTCCCCTTTAGTCCAACAGAAAGTTTCAGGATCACTCAGTTTTCTCAACCAAACTTTGCAAAAGCCTCAGAGGCAAGTACAAGATGTCACGTGTGCTCTGTAGTCCACATCACCTAAGTAACTACAAGCGAATTTGAAGGCTGCAGCAATCTCTCACCTGTTACATGAGTCCAGCAACGTTGAGTGACGTCTGTAACAAGGTATGAGTGAAGGAGACAACAACTATGGCAAAGCAGCCGTGATCAGGCTGAGTTTGTAGGCTCTCCCTTGAGATCTGCCAGCTGGAGTCCCACTCTGCCACGCTGTGATTGGCTCAGATCTGCCCGTGAGTGTGCAAGCACATGACTACACTAATATAGGCCATCTGTGCAGCTTGAGAATGAGGCTTCTGGAACCAGACATGAAGATTTCCATGACAATCTTCTCTCTCTTCCTACCTCTCCTAACATGCACAAAACAAGATTGGTTTCAATTATGAGCCTGAACACACAAAATAAATTCTTAGTTCTGTTTGACTGTGTCCTTTCCCCCAAACAATATACTTAAGATGCTCACTGACAATCTAAGAGCTACATTTATTTTATTTTCTGTGACTTTTTGTTCAGACTGAGGTTTTTAAATATCAATTTTTTCTTAAAGATAATTGTAAGTAAGAGGGAATATCACATAGTATTTAAGTGAGCAGGCATACTATGCTTCTTGCTTTTATCTTACAACTTAGGAGTGTTGCCCAAATTGTAGAACATGGGACTTAAATTGGTTACCTGTAAACACTGGGTTGTAAAAGGAAGTAAACTGAGTTAAGATTTAGTCTATAACTTTAAAAGTTTATTTATTAGAGCTGTTTAGGTTCCCAGTAAAACTGAACAGAAAGTATAGAGATTTTGCATAAACCTCTCTCTACCCCTGTCCTACCACATTGTTTGCTTGTGCCTCCCAATGTTTACCTCAACAACTACAAATCTTCATTGATTCCTTTCACCACTCAGAACCCAAAGCTCACACAAAGTGTCATTCTTGTGGTTAAACTTTGACAAATGCACAGTACTGTGGCGACACCATTGTACTACCCTAGTTTTACTGGTCTCACAATCCTCTATCACCCACCTGCTTACTCTTCCTTCCCCACATCCTAGCAATCATTATTCTAGAATGTTACAAAATTGTAATCACAATTTCTTTGACCATTCCAAATTGTTTCTTTCATTTAGTCATATAAATTTAAGGTCCTCCATGGCTTTTGGTAACTCCATAGCTTATTTTCCCTTAGCATTGAGATTATGTATCATTGTCTCTTGAATAGCGTGTCCTTATGGGTTAATAATCCACGTCTTAATCTATGATCAGGATGTGCCATTCACTACCCAAGAGCATCTTTGGTTGTTTCCAAGTTTTTGAAGTATTAATAGAAATATTCATATATTGGGGGCTGGAAAGGTGGCTCAGTGGTAGAGTGCTTGCCTTGCATGCATGAGGCCCTGGGTTCAATTCCTCAGCACTACATAAACAGAGAAAGCTACAAGTGGTACTGTGGCTCAAGTTGTAGAGCATTAACCTGAGCTGAAGAGCTGAGGGACAATGCCCAGACCCAGAGTTCAAGCCCTATGACTAACAAAAAAAGTAAAAGAAATATTTATATACAGGTGTTTGTGTGGATATACATTTTGTAGGTTATACTTTTTATTCTTGTTGTCACTATCCAAAATAGCTGTTAAAATCTGATCCAAGCAGCAGAGCTATAAATCCAGTTTCTGCTGTGTCTCCTCCCAAGGCAACAGTCCAAACTTTACTAAAGTAAATAGGAAGATTGAAGGAGCTGGCGGAAGTGTTTCACCCTATCATCCAGAATTTATTGCTCTTGACAATGATTAGAGTGAGCATCCAATAAGTATGGACTAAATGTAATCACAAACTCCATTTGATTACACGAGACCTTCAGACTGCTGTGGTTGCTTTAAACCATAAATAGTTTCGATGTAATTATGACGAAACAGCAAGTAAATGGCCTGCACGGCACTCTCATAAAGGGTGGAAGAACTGGATGTCCACGGTGCCCGAGATACTTTCAACTCAGATCTCAGATGCAAGTAAGCATTGAAGCTCACAATGACACCCACTGTGTGTTTCAATGACACATGCACATTGTTAAAATAGTCTTCCTGCCTTGATTGTTGGTAGAGGGTAAATACTGAAAACTTTAGAAAAGCTTTCATTTTTCTGTTAGCCATGTTACGTTTTTGAGATAGGGTCTCACCGTGTCAGCATGGAGCCTAGACAAGCCTCAAAGTCTGGATCCTCCTGCCTTGGATTCCTGAGTGCTGGAATTACAGGTGCCCAGTGCGATCCATGTGTTATTCTTACTGCTCCCACACCCTTCTCCCCTTCCCCAAACCCCCCGCCCCTCCGTCAAAAGCCGTCATGGAAGTCGCTGCCCTAGCACCCAAGAAAGCATGTACATGGGGACAGGCCTTTGGTTTCCTGAGTCATTGTTGTTCCCCTGACTTCAGGTTTGTGTATTTTCACTGTCTAGTCATTCTGAAATCACCAGTTTGATATGGATCTGTTTTCTGAAGACTCCGAAAATAGTTTTTATGATGTGTATGCATGAGTCCTGATTTAATCATGTCAGAATGAAACAATCAGCCACTAGGTATTTGCATTACTATTTATGTAACACAAAGGCTATTGTTCAAGTTTTCCCAGGGGCGTTCCTTTAAAATATCAAGTTTTCATACTATCTCCTTAAATATAATTTGTAGAAGTCAGCTTTACACCCACCTTTCCAGGGATCCCAGTAGCATCTGTTCAGTACATACTCCTGAACCCTGTGTAGTCTCAGTTTTTCATTAAAAGGGTCTGGCCTTCAGCTGTAATAGGTGCTTAAAAGCTACTCTTTCTGAAAAGCAGTGACTACTTACTTGGACACACGAATAACTAAGAGCAGTAGAAAATCTTAGCATCCCTGACGCATTTCATCTGTTTCTCTACTGTAAGTCATTCTCTCTGCAGTCCCTTTGCAACCACCCTGGAGTCCAGGAAGGACAGAACTGTTGGACAACATCTTTATGACAAAGCACCAAAACTAATGAGTAATAGAACCACCACAGGAGGGACCTTCCTCCAGACAACTTGTTCGTTCCCCTCAAGTGAAGAGCTCCTCAGGCACAAGGACTGACACAATGATCAAGAAGCAGGTAGCCGCTGAGCGCCAGTGGCTCACACCTGTCAGCCTAGCCATTCAGGAGGCTGAGATCTGAGGAGCACGGTTCAAAGCCAGCCTGGGCAGGAAAGTATGTGAGACTCTTATCTCCAATTAACCACCAGAAAACTGGAAGTGGTGCTGTGGCTCAAGTTGTAGAGTGCTAGCCTAGAGCTGAAGAGCTGAGGGACCGCACCCAGGCCCAGAGTTCAAGCCCCACTACCGACAAAAAAAAAAAAAAGCTGGAGAGTTTAATGCTGTCACTCCCTTATCCATATAACCGATAGCTCATATCTGTATCCTTAAAGATGGCCAAGGACTGGCTGAGTTGCTTTCATCTCACTACAGCTGTTCATGCACTACAATAAAACCATTCTTTGCCCTTTACCATGTATCTTTATTTGTTCACATATGAAACTCCTGCAATTTGGGGGGTCTGGGCTCTAAAACCCTGGTTTCAAGGTTTTTGAAATAGGGGATATTCAATAAGATAAATCATTATTCTATGTAATGATAAATTCATGGGTTAATATATAATAATAAATTTATGGGCTAATACTATATGACTTGAAAAAGAGAAAGAATAACTGTTTTGGGCAGGTGTGGTGGGGCACACCTGAAATCCCAGCTAGCTTGAGGCAGAGATTGGGAAGACCATGGCTTGAGGCCAAGCCACACACATCCCCAAAAATTTATCAAGACTGCAGACCCTAAGAAAATACAAGTGACTAAAGGTTTGGTTAATAACAATTTGAGTTTCAAAACCTAGCAGGAACATGGGAAGCAGAGCAGTGAATAGCATCCAGACTGCCCGGTCACCACAAAAGCTGACTGTCTTCCGTGGTAGACTGACCAGATAGTGAGATCCCTCCTCTGGTCTGTGTGAGACACAGTATCAGATAGGGTCCTCAAGTGGGAGACCCTCCTCTGCGATGGGAGACTGTCCTCTGAGGTCCACCTGCTGACAGTGAGTTTCCAGGAAGCATTCTGCCTTTTGTCCTCAGGGTTCAGTTGCCGATCAGTGTGGTAAATAAAGACGGTAAGGCACACTCAAGGATGAAGACATTGACACTCAGTTAGATGCTGACAATGCTTCATTACTTCAAGTTAACCTTTAATTTTAAGCTAATTGACAACTGAGAAGCTTCATAAAGCTTATTTGTGAGGGTACTATTAAGTACTACTAAGATACATTTTTAAAAATTATTTTTTAATATACATGAATTATATAGAGTAGGCTTCATCTGACATTTTCATACATGAGTATAATGTAATTTGATCCTATTCATTTGCCATCACTCCCTCTTGTGAGAAAGAATTTACCCTGTAGGCAAGCTCCTTTTTCCCTTAATGATTGGTAATGAATGAAATTACAGCATTAGAACTGTAGGAGTATGGAGTTGAAAAGAACATACTTTTCTACCAAAGTTCAAAGATTTGTCCTCAGTGGCTCATGATCTGCAAATTGAGTTAGGTGAGATCAAAACTCTAGACTGTACCTGAACCCGGTCTCACAATTCACAATTTGTTGTTTCCCTATTACTCCACTTTGAACTGTTGGAGACAGGCTGTATTCCCCCCCTATGTATTTCCTGTTTCACCAGGGACCTGAAGGCCATAGTCAGCAGCTAGAGCTCAGTTCTAGAAGTAAGTAGCTGTGCCACATGGAGATGCAAAGATCTTTGCTTCTGATCTGTTGATTTGAATAGTGTTCTGCATGTTGTCTTGCTCAGTAATTGTATTGTCATAATTATTTTAGACTTTAGTTCCACAACATATACAGAGACAATAGGTGGAATATAACTTGGAATAAAAACAAAAATTAGGGGCTGGGAAGGTGGCTCAGTGGTAGAGTGCTTGACTTGCATGCATGAGGCCCTGGTTTCGATTCCTTTGCACCACTTAAGCAGAAAAAGCCAGAAGTGCCACTGTGGCTCATGTGGTAGGGTGCTAGCCCTGAGCTGAAGAGCTGAGGGACAGTGTGTAGGCCTAGAGTTCAGGCCCCATAATTGACAAAAATAAAACAAAAACAAAGATTAGCATTAAAATTTAAGAATAGACAATAGTCAGTGAAAAACATTTCCAACTAAACTAATGGTGGTTTCTTCTGCGGTTAAAATTTGGATTGTTTTCCCTATTTACTTTTGGCACTCCTGCCTAGCCTTGTAAGTAGCTGAAATCACAGGTTTACATCATTGGGTCTCTCTCTGTTCCTTCTATTTTTAATGTCTTCTACATCTGAGAAAGATCAGTCCTTTAACTGTGAAGATCACAGTATTTTCTCCTCGTTTGTTGGTTGTGCTTTTACTTCATTTATGGTGTTTTCAGTGTTTTAATTTCGTAGCCAAGTTTTTACTAATTATTTAATTTAATGTATGTAAATTTATTGTTGTTATTTATTATTTATTGTGAAAATACTGTAGAGGGGTTACAATTACATGGGTAAGATAATGAGCACATTTCTTATCAAGCATTGTAGCCTCCTGCTTTGTTTCCCCTTCCCATCCCTTCCCATCCTCCCCCTCCCTCATCCCCCCCCACCAAAGTTGTAAGCTTCATTTTTGGACATAAGGACTTGTATATCTCATTATTGCAATGGGTCCTCCTGTATCCCTGTTTTAACAATTTGTTTTTTCCCTTCCCCTCCACATATACCAACATCATATATAGTGAAAGCAGGGGTTGTGCCATGGGGGAGGGACATACAAGGCAATAAAGACATAATCTTATAAATATTGAACCAAGATTATTTTGATTGATATTTGTCACCTATATACAGGTTAAAAAGGAATTTATTAATGTTTTGTTTAGTATTTGTGTGGTTTCTTAGATTCCTGATCTATTGGGAATTTATTCTTTTTTTTTTTTGTCAGTCGTAGGGCCTGAACTCTGGGCCTGGGCACTGTCCCTGAGCTCTTTAGCTCAAGGCGAACGCTCTACCACTTGAGCCACAGTGCCACTTCTAGCCTTTTCTGCTTATGTAGTGCTGAGGAATTGAACCCAGGGCCTCATGCATGCAAGGCAAGCACTCTACCACTGAGCCACCTTCCCACCCTGGGAATTTATTCTTATATATATTTTCATTTTGTTGTCTTAAAAAGCACATTTGCTGAAGTGACTGGAGACCACAACCCTCCTATATGCAGCTCCATTTTCACAGGACTGGGAGGTTCTAATCCAAGGGGATCCTAATTTGAAAGATTGTACACTGTGCTTTACTATTTTGCAGAGTGAGTTTCCCATGTAGTTTTTTAGTGTGTTTTTGACTATTGATGTTGAGTTTTCTGTATGAAGTATAGCATAACCTTGTCTAGTTTCAAAACAATTTTTACAAACTTTGTCCTTAAAAAAAACCCTTTTTAATTGAGAGGGTGACTTGGGAAGAACTGCATCTCTCTGTGGTCGTCATCTTACCTGGGGACAAATGGTATCTTCTTATGTGTTCAAGTCCGTATTAATGCTTTTCAGAAGTTTAAAAAGAAGATTTTCTTAGAAAGCTTTTGCTTGTTTCTTGGATTAACTCGCTCTTGTTTTTTAATATCTTCCTTGTTGCTATTATAAATAGTGTTTTGCTATTCTTATCAGCTAATGTGTCTGTGTCTATATTGTGAGAACGAATACTTACCATCTTATAGCTGTCTACAGTTCAATGAATTTTATTGTTTGAGTTAGTGTTATCATTGATTGCCTGGAATTTTATATGTGCGAAAGCATATATGCAAATACAAATGGTTTACCTTCTTTCAGCTCTTATCTATGCAATTTATCATTTCATCTTCTTGCCTAATTTCATTGCTTAATGAAATGTGAGCTTGGACAATGGTCGACTGGAGCTTGTTTCTAATCCTGGAAGAGATGCTCTAATACCTTTCTATTATAGTAGTCGGGATGCTGGCTTTAGGACCTTAGGACTGAGATACATATGTATTTATTTTTAGCTAGCTAATATGATTAGTTAATTCATCCTATTAGTTATTTGTTTTTATAAACCATATTAAATATTATAAAATGTCTTACAACATCTATGGGGAAAATTGCATGATTTTTCTCTTTTATCTACTATCATGGTACATTATATTAATGAGTTTTCTAATATTAAATCAACTTCGATTTGTAAGAACAATTCCACTCATGTTGTATTACTTTTTAACATAATGTCTAATTCTGTTTACTAATATCGCTATGAGCCTCATAATAACAATGGGTCAAGAAGGTGGTGTCTATACGATGGTTGTACCCTAAGATTACATTACAGTCTAGGTGTATGGTAAGTGATACCGGTAGGTTTGTGTAAGTTATCTGCAATGTTGGGTGCATAGAAGATGATGGTTTTATAGATTGCAATGTAGTCTAGGTGCCTATAAAGCAATTCCATCTAGCTTGTATGAGTGATTGTGTTAATAAGACAGTGATAACATTGCCTGACAATGCATTCTGCAGAATGCAGCTGTTGGAAGGTGCTTTTCATTTTGAAATTTTGCCACAAAATGCACAAATAATATTGGTTTGTAATGTTAGTTTTTACTGTGCTGTCTGTAGTGAGTCCTGGCAATTATATTGTCCTTGTTTCAAAAAAGGATTTGGATAGTTTCCTGCCTGTGGTGTGAAACAGCATGGGTATGGCCTTATCTGTGAAGTTTTTAATTTTTATTTTTGGGGGGGGGTCCGGTCGTGAGGCCTGAACTCTGGGCCTGGGGGCTGACCCTCAGCTCTTCAGCTCAAGGTTAGCGCTCTGCCGCTTGAGCCATAGCACCACTTCCGGCCTTTTCTGTTTATGTGGTGCTGAGGAATCAAACCCAGGGCCTCGTGCATGCAAGGCAAGCACTCTACCACTGAGCCACCTTCCCAGCCCATCTGTGAAGTTTGGTAGAGGGCCTGCTGCATCACGAGGAGTTGTGCCTTGATGACTCTTTCCATGCACTCTATAAGTATCGGTCTGTTTAAGCTTTGTACATCTCAGAACCTCAGTTGGGACTAACATGGTTTGAAGACAGA